GCGCCCACCGCGTGGAGGGAGCAGTCAGCTGACGGCGTATATAAACATAACCGCATGGTCGGCGGCCCAGCTATCCGCCAGCTGACCTGCAGAGGAAGTGCTAGCCGAGAGACAGTAGTTGATCTCAGGATCAAGACCGTCGGGGTTTCTTTTGTCGGGAAGGAAGCGACAGAACAGCGTTCGAGATGAGGCCGCCATCGTTCGGAGCTGACATCACCAACCAGGCCAACAACGAGCCGCAGCTGCCCGCGGTGATGCACTGCACCCGCATGGCAGGCCGCGCCATCATCCGCGTGGTGGGGCGCTGCAACGACGCCCAGGAGAACAACAATCTCGGTGAGCGCCAGTGACTGTGCCGCGCTAACCCTCACGACTAACGCACCGAGCGCCGGCCTAGCCCTGCTCGCCACTAACGAGCGATGCGCTGGGGAGGAGCGTGAGCTAATGTTTCCGATGTGTTGAATTGGAATTACCTGAGCGTTGTGCATCTCTACGAAAACGTTAAGCGAGTGATGCTTCTTCTGTTTACATGTTTCACTAATTAAGTGCATTTTCATACAAAATCAATAGGAAAATGTTTAGAATATGGTATTTCCAATGCAAAACATCTTAATTTTCTCCTACTAATCTCCAAGGCCGTCATATCCCAGTTTGCGTTCAATGGTTGGTTGAAAAAGAAATCCGGAAGTTGCCTGTTTTGTGTCGACACCAACACTTTCCACATGTGCGTGCGGAGCTGTGAGTGTCAAACTACAAAACAGAAAGGGAAAGGAGTGCTGTGGATCGCAAAGTGAATTTAATTTGAATTTAAGTGAATCAATTTAATATTTTTTGTTATTAAAAATTTAACTTTACAAAAATGTGTCAAAAACACTACGGTGTTTCATTATTTTAAATAACTGCCTTGAAATTGAACGCATAAGCATTCTCTACTAGCATTTTTAGTATGAATTACATTACTAACACCATTTTGTTCTTATCGTCTTTAAACATATGTACATTTGTAGTGTTAACAAACTGGTCTTTTAAACAAATGTTAGTTTCGAAAATATTTTCAACTTAATGCAACACTCACGTGGCTAAGAGCGGAATGTAAACACTTTGTCAGAAGACAGGGATTTCCCCCTTTGTTGTCTCCACCTCTCAGCCAACTCCCAGCATCATTGCGTTAAAATTAGAACAGTTGCTTCGAGGAAATCCCAAAGCATGGTGACCCAATTTAAGTTTTTCTTCATTGAGAGGAGAAAGAAAAGATCCAATGAAACAAGCAATCTTAATTTTGAAACATATTATGAATAAACGTTAATGAAACTGGGCACTCAAAATCACTACAGTTCTTTCTTCACTAGGGTGTTTTTTCTGCTTTACTTTCTGCCTCACTCAATGATCTCAACCACTCAGTACTATTACTGCAGCTCATTAGTTATGTTACAATGTTTGATGACAAAATACGAATGTTAGTAAATAAAAACAAAACATATAAACTTAATGTTAAGGCACGTCAATGTCCTAAAATTATCTTAGCAATAGTTAATATTATAGATCTTTATCTTTCGTCAGATATGCAAAGATTAGAAAAGAACTTCAGATCACTTTTTATCACGCGAAATAGAGTGGTTGTAGAACTACGTGAGCGAATGTCTGAATACGATAAGTCTGAAAATAGTTCTTGTTCTCATTCCGTAGCTATGTTTTGTTGGTTTCATTTTCTTAAGCAATGAAAAGAATTGTGTACAGATGCGTTTCCTCTAAGAACCAATAAGAACAAGAATAAATAAACATCAATACACAGAGAACTGAAAGAATTATTTTCCGCAAAATCGTATTCAGGCTAGGTCCGCCTGTTTCGTTGTTTACGTTCATATGCGTCTTACTTCACGTGTTTTTCCCTGGGCAAAGTTCTTGTTGTCAGTGCAGTAAAACAATAAATTGCCGAGCGCTCAGTGAGGCAGTCCTGGCAAAGCAGAGCTGGTAGGTAGCAGCTGAGAGGGAAAGGCCGAGATGGAGCGGAGCGAGGCGGAGCGGAGCGGTGTGAAGGGGTCGGGAGAGTGGGGACGGGGTCCGCGGGTCGGTGCCCGGGGCCTCCCAACTGCGCAGCAGCGGCGGCCGTCTCCTCCACTGGCGCTGGACGCCTCCGACGCAGGTGCCCGAAATAGCTTTGTTTCTCCGCGCCCGCCGAACTTCCTCCGAGCACATGCGCAGCGCCCTCCGGCGGGTCGCGCGCACTCTCTTGGATCC